GAGACGGTGAGGCGCGAGAGGGCCGAGGCGGCCGACGAGTCTGGCTCCGAGCTCTGCTCCGAGGAGTTGCTGGAGGTGCTCTGGGAGCCGCGCCCGGTGCCGGCGAAGGCCCAGCTGATGGAGTCCCGCCAACTGCTCCGCCGCCGGCTGGGGTTGTACTCCGGCGGCAGCAGGGAGTCCCTGTGGGCCGAGGGGTCCGGCATGGTCACGACGACGCGGGCGCGGAAGGCCGCTGCCGCCGCCGCTGCTGCTGCTGAGGGAAAGGAGGGCGGCCGGCGGGGCCTGGAGCCTCTCCCATCCTCGTCGCCCAGAAGTGGCGGCCTCGACCTCCCCGCCCGCGCCGCAGAGGAAGGGAGAGGGGCCGCCGCCCGCTCCTTCCAGGCCTGGGCGTCACAATCCGATTGTGCCCGGGGTGACCGCCGCGTTCCGAGGGAAACAACGCGCCGCTTTGGGAGCTGGTTTTGCCCGGGAAGGGCCTTTTCCTGCCCTCTCGCCTCGCCTGAGGGAGAGCGAAATAAAAAGAGCTCGCGCAGCTCTGCCGGCAGTCAAGGGCCCAACCGGCGGCCCTTTTGCGGCGCTCTCCTTTTAAGCCGCGTTCACCACGGTGTCCTCCACGCAATTCTGCACTAAAACCATATTCAGACTTCTTTTGAATCCAGGCTCCCCCCACCCCCCATTCTGCACAGAAATCGAGTTCAGTCTTCTTTTTATATCCCCCCCCCCTTCTCCTAGGGCTGCTCTTTGCCTTCTGCATATTTTAAATGCTGTTGTATGGCTTCATATGAAAAAAGTTAATTACTTCAGACTAATCAGCTAGAAGCTCTGACAGATTTCCTTTCTCAAACACATCCCTGATCCCCATTCATCACATGTGCCACCAGAACTCTTCTGGAAACTTACAGATGACTTTCTCCCTGGGACAACCCTGTGCCAAGGGAAGACTCATACTGGACATTATTGTTCCCATCAGCACACCCAGTACCTACATCTTGTACCCAATACTAGAAAGGCATCACAGGTTAAAACAAAATGTCCTGCTGAGATGTCTTCTAAGGGTGACATCAATATGTACATGAGAAGGGGGCATGGCCAGATGTAATTTATCCTCATCCCATGTTGCTATGCTTTCAGATGCTGCTAGTCATCATATTATACTGATGGAAAAGATAATACTTGACCCAGGCATTCCCAAAGTTATCCTAGGATAAATTCTCAAATGGTTGAAGAGGGCCTAAATTATATCCATGACAGAACATGCACATATATTTTACAGGGGGAAAGGACACACCTATTCCCATCTGGAAAATCATAACTTTTTTACCCTCTCTAATGAAAATAACATTAGGTCAGGGATAAATGTGCAATACTTAGATAATGAAGCAAAACAATGTGGCTCGCTATGCCGTTGAGCAAATGCCAAGTGTTACAAATTTAAAAAACAATGAAGATCCTTTTTTTTCAGTCTCCAAAGTCTGGGAAGGGAGGGCAGTACCTGTTTGTGCAGTTTTTCTTCTTTTTTTTAAAGTACCCATAGGTACACTTTTATTAATTTTTTTTATAATCAACAACAAACAAATCTACACACTACAGACACTCTACTACATATAACGTATATACCAAGAGTGCAGTTACATTATATGCTTATATGCAATTACTTAATTAATAAAACCGCTATATCAAACACTTTCCATTCTTCTATCTTCTGTGTTCTCAAGTCCATTGCGCTATCCTTGCCTAATCTTCTATTACATTTGCATTATACCAATCATAAAACTTTTTCCATGTTTTTTGAAATCCAGAGGACGGTGGAAGACAGGAGGACCTGGAGTGATGTGGTCTATGGAGCTGGGAAGAGTCGGACTCGACTGTGCCACTGAACAAGAACAACGAAAGGCTTGGGACAGCCGGTAGGGTTAGTTAGACCATGACACCTTCCCACCCATCTCGGTTAATGTTTTGTTTTTTAATCTTTCAAAATAAATTGCTGCATCCTTAGTTTGGCTTTTTATTCCTTCCCTTTTTAACCAGCAACAAGCTTCATACAATCTTTTCTAAACATATTTCTTTTAAAAATACTTCATATGTCTAGTGATCTTCCCCTGAGAAAGGAATTCCCCTGAGAAAGAAATCCTCATTTTTCGTAGGCTCAGAAAAGGGGCCGCAAAAGAGCTACAAAATTTAAAACCATGGAAGTAATTTCATTGGATGAATACAACTGGCTCACTCAGGTAGGTTCAGCAAAATAGATCCCTTTTATTTTCCTTAACAATTAAAACAATAGTCTGACAGACTACAGTGCAACCATCTTTTTTGTGTGTTTATAAAAGAAATGTGAACTGAATATGCAATGCAAAAAGGAATGCCACAGAAGACAATATGATTACATCTTGCAGTAGTGGTTTGCCTAATCCTCTCCAAATTCCCTGCAAAGATATATCTATCTTTGAACCCTAGCATTAGGATTATGGTTACAGGGAAGCAGAAACTATAATCTTTGCAAAGCTGGCTATTCATGAGAGTCATGGCTGATTGTCTGAGCATATCCACGTTGCCGGAACCCACTGCGGCTCATCTTGTGCTCGGCGGACAGCAATCAGCAGCTGCGTGCAGGCCTCCTCCAAGTTGTCGTTCACAATAACGTGGTCAAAGAACTGTCCAAACTGAACCTCCATTTTTTTAGCCGACTCTTCCATTTCCTGCAGATCTTCTTCCTGGGTGTAGAGAATACAACCATAAGAAACTGGAAGTGTCCTCTAACATGTCCTCCTTTTCTGTTACCTAGTTTTTTTTTTATCCCACTGTTCTTCCAGGTTGGCATTTATGGGCCTCCCCTCTTTAATTTACACTCTGAAAAATCCTTTGGGGTAGGTGAGGCTGTGGGAAACAGAGAGACAGTTCCAGGTGGGCAGCTGTGTTGGTCTGCAGTAGAACAGCAAGACTTGAGTCCAGTTGCGCCATGAAGACCAACGAGATGTCTAGGGAATAAGCTTTTGATAGTCAAGGCTCCCTCTGTCAGATACATCCCATACCCACAGAGAGAGAAACGGAGCGTGTGGCTGGCCCAAGGGTCCTCCAAGCAATTCTGCACTAAAATTCTGCCATTCTGCACTAAAATCGAATCCAGCCCTTTTATTCTAGTTCCCCCCGCCGCCCCATTCCCTCCCTTCAGTGGTCAGCCTATTTCAGACTGCTGTTGCTCTGGGTTATTTGGATGCCCTTTTGCCGTGGACTTAAATTGCCTCGACTTGAACACTGAGAAAATCTGGAGCGGCAGGCAACCACGGAAGGGACCAAGGTCACCCAGGAAGCTCCAGTGGGGACTGGAATTACGATTGCCAGGTTTCCCACTCCCAGCCAACTGCAGGAGATGAGGGGGGTAGGGTTCCCCAGATGCAGGTTGGGAAACTCCTGGAGATTTGGGGATGGAGCCTGAGGAGGATAGGGACTTCAGTGGGGTACAATGCCATCGAATCCGCCTTCCAAAGCATCCATTTCCCCCGGCACAAGGCCATTGAAGCCGCCTTCCAAAGCATCCAGTTTTCCCCAGGGGAACTGATCTCTGTAGTCTGGAGATGAATTGTAATCCCAGAGGAACCGTAACTGGAATCCAAGCTTCCTCATTCCAGCATTTTTCACCACTATACCACAGCAGCTCTGTTGTACACATATTTTAAACAAAGGACAGAAGTAGAAAAATTCAGGCTTAAAAAAAATCTCTCAGCTGATCACTTGTTGCCCTTCAAGCATAAGTGTTCTTCTTAACTGTGGGTTTCTTTGCAAGGCCTTTGCAGTCGTTCAGCAAATTTGTATTGGAAATAGAAGCTGGACTTGCTATCTCCCACCTCTGGCCTCCTGCTTCCAGCCTGTTGATTTCTGTACAGTTGGGGGGACTCAAACTAGACAAAGAGTATTTACTGTCTAAGCTGTGGAGTTTTGTGAGCAAAAGTTCTACTTTTCTGAGCTACTGGCATTAAAGTTCTGAGCGAGCTATTTGGCTACTGCATAAATTAGTTTGCTCTGGAGCCAGCCTTCCTTTGTGAAGACAAAAATGTGGGAGCCGGAGGATAAAAAACTGAGCTAGCTCACACTAACTCAACTCAGAGGGAACACTGTTTACCACCACTCCCCAGTTCCTCCCCAACTTTCTGCTTGGGTGCAGCCCTGGTGTGAAAGTTCTCTTTAAAACTTGGCAAGATATTGGAGATAACTGGCTTTCAGTTCTATTCCCACTGGTAAATTGGCACTCTCTTACTGGAAAGTGCCTTTCCTTTAAGACTCCGGCTGCTCTTTTTGCAGGATGGTTAATAATAAAAGTTTTGCAAGCTTAGAAGCCAGTTAGAAAGAAAGTTCTGGGTTACAGTGCGGACCAGAATAAACTGCATATGTGTAATAGTTAGATTAGTTGTTGTAGATTTTCTGGGCTGTATGGCTGTGGTCTTGGCATTGTAGGACCTGACGTTTCACCAGCAGCTGTGACTGGCATCCTCAGAGGTATAACACAGAAAGATGGAGTACTCTCTGTGTCAATGTTAGAATTTAAGTTAGAATTTACTGTTCAAGCATGCACACATCTTATAAATGAAATAATTAAATATAACATGTATCCATAAAGTGATTCAAGATGAGTTTGATTTCAGTCATACTTCCGATTGCAAGATTAAATTCAGTATCAGAATTTAAGTTAGAATTTACTGTAATAGAATTTACTGTTCAAGCACGCACACATCTTATAAATGAAATAATTAACTATAACAAGTGGTGATTCAAGATGAGTTTGATTTCAGTCACACTTCCGATTGCAAGATTAAATTCAGTATCATTCACAGACTGAACTCATGTCTACTGTCCTGTATTATTCATGACCTACAGGCTCAAACAGCTACCAGTCCCCTATTTGTATCTGAAGAAGCGTGTGTGAAAGTTTAAACCCAGAATTAAACTTTGTTGTTCTTAAAGGTACCACTGGGCTCAAACTCTGCTCTATTTGTCAAACGTGTTAATGACAAATCTTTATGTAATAGCTGTGAAAAATATGTAATGACCATCCAAACTGATGCACAGTTTGTAAGGACTGGAGCCTTCACAGAGGGGGGCTGCTTTGGTGGCTGCCATGATTTGTATAGATTTTGAAGGACCTTTTCCCAATCACTTCATAGGCTCAGTCATAACAGTGGAGTGCACATTCCCCATTATGGTGGTGTTGGTTTTCATGAACATTGCTTTCATGTGAGTGTTTTAGAGATCTAAAACTGGTAGCAATCCGGTGCACTTTTAAGGGGTCTAACGTAAAATTGAATTTTGATAAGTGGAGCTGGAATTATCATGCAGGATGGGTGAAGGACTGTAGACTCCCATCTATATATCTAATTCTCAAGTCGCCCCCTGGTGTGTGGATACTTAAATCCGCACATCGGGAAGGACCTGGGGGGGAGGGAGAGGTTTGTGCGCACGGGGGGCGGGGGAGGAACCGGCAGGGTGGGGGGGGCTTACCTTTTTGAACAAGCACTTCTGGCTCGGCAAAGCCAAGTGCAAAAGCAATTAAAAGTGGCCGCGAGTATCGCGGGCCCACCCCTTGTATTTTCTATATATTAACTCAGATCAAAAGCTTTTACTCTCAAAGAAAAGCATCCTTAGATCCTCTGCATACCTCTTTGGTTGCCAGAATAAGGCAAGGAAGTATTTGTTGGTTTTGATACAGACAGAAATCAAGGGTCAAAAAAATGATTTGTAAAGAATATTAGTGCAGAGGGCAGCAATTCTGATAAAACTGAGTTCAACCAGTAGCTCTTACATGTGACCTGGACAGATTAGATACAAAGTCACTATTTCAAATGCCCTAGCACATTGGTGAAATTGAACCGATAATCTACTTCAGGGATGTTCTGTGGATGAATAATCCAAATTGATGGTGGTAGAAAGTGCCGTCAAGTTGCAGTCAATTTATGGCAACCCCGGTAGGGTTTTCAAGGCAAGAGATGTTCAGAGGTGGTTTGCCATGGCCTGCGTAGCAAGCCCTGGACTTCCTTGGTGGTCTCCCATCCAAGCAATAACTAGGGTTGACCTTGCTTAGCTTCCAAGATCTGACAAGCTCAGATTAGCTTGAGCCATCCCGGTAATAATTAATAAATAATTATCATATGGCAGTGTGTGTAGTATAGCCAGGAGATCCGAAGATTGTATGGCAGCTAGAATTTCTAGCTCTTTTAGCACTATGTACCACTAGATGGCGAGCTTGACTTGTTTTTAAGGCAAGAGAAGTTTCAGAGGTGGCTTGCCATTGCCTGCCTCTGCGTCATGCCCCTGGTATTCCTTGGAGGTCACTCATCTTAATACTAGCCCTGCTTAGCTTCCGAGATCTGGCGAGATAGGGCTAGCCTGTGCTATCTGGGTCAGGGCATACAAGGTGATACAATACATTAAAAGTTAAATAAATAAATGAACCACATGCTGGCTATGGCCCCGGTAATACCACACAAGTCTGATATCCCCTTTTGATGCTCACCTTAAACTTCATGTTCACATAATAGTCTGTGATAATCCTGGCGTTTTTCCGGGATTGCTTCATGCAACTCACGCTCGACGGCTTAATAAATATAATGTAGGGTTTCAGTTCATGAGTTCGAGCCAGCTGAATATTCTAGAAGACCACAAAACAAAAGAAGCCGTTTAAACTCGCTGAATCGAATAAACAACACTTATACAGTCCCAGTTTTATTCCTATTAAAAACAAGCGATTGTTGTTTTTTAAGAAGCAACAACAATGTAGACTAGCTAGATTCAAGCCCAGGAGCACCTTAGAGATGAACAAAATTTTTAGGATATGAGCTTTCGAGAATCAAAGCTATCTGACAAAGGGAGCTTTGACTCTCAAAAACTTGCACCACAAAAATCTTGCTAGTCTCTAAGGGGCTACTGGATTTGTACTGCAGACCAACACAGCAACCCTCTGAGACTATCGACCGTGTAGACCAGGATGCAAAGAGTTGTTTTAGCTTCCCAGAGGGATTTTTTAGATTTTTCCCTTTTTTCCTTCAGAGTTCTACCACCAGTGTTGGGAGTAACTGGTATAGTTAATCCAGTAAAAAGGTAAAGGTAAAGGTTCCCTTGCTCGAAAGCCAGTCAAGTCCGACTCTAGGGTTGCGGTGCTCATCTCCGTTTCAAAGCCGAAGAGCCAGCGCTGTCTGAAGACGTTTCCGTGGTCATGTGGCCGGCATGACTAAACACCAAGGTGCACGGAACGTTGTTACCTTCCCACCGAAGTGGTCCCTATTTATCTACTTGCAATTTCTTGCTTTCGAACTGCTAGGTTGGCAGGAGCTGGAACTAGAGACGGGAGCTCACTCCGTCATGCGACACCTGGGTCTCGAACTGCTGAACTACCGACCTTCCACAGCCTGCAGTTCAGCGTCTTAACCACTTGAACCACCGCAGCTCCTTAGTTAATCCAGTGTCCTGTTTCAATTTAGCATCGTGCACCTTGGCTACACGCAACAGAAGCTCTTTGTTCTCAGTGTGCTGGCAGAGTTACAAGGTTACACAGAGCCCTTGTCAGTTTAAGACGAATAACAGTCATTTTTTTTAGGAACTACATTCTCGATAGTAAAGCTTAGAGATAGGGCTAGAGTCTATTCTAGCTACCTTGGATGGATGCGGATGCTGAGGGGCATCCTGAATCCATTGTGCCAAAGATAGAGAAAGGAGAAGAGAGGACAGAATGGAAGGAAGGAAGTTGTTTTTCCTGAGATCCATCAGTCTGAACATCAAAGGGACAGTGACTGAAGGGTAAACAGGAAGAAATATCAGTGTTTGCCTCTCTATTCTAACTCTCTTGTCACTACTCCTGGTGGCCGAGGCAAAGGGACAGCGCCTTCTCTTCCAACAACCAATAGCTTTCAAACAACTCATTCCAAAGGCAAGTTGTTATGGGGCATTTTCAAGGAACACGAGGACTCCTGGGGCACATGGAAGCGGCTGTGCGGTTCCTTGGGTCCTGGCCACAGGCTCCAATCCTATATTTAAATATTCATATTTGAGGTCCAGAGAAGATGACACAATAGGTGATTCATAATCAAATCTAAAGGTAAAGGTAAAGGTTCCTTTGCTTGAAAGCCAGTCGAGTCCGACTCTAGGGTTGCGGTGCTCATCTCCGTCTCAAAGCTGAAGAGCCAGTGGTGTCCGAAGACGTTTCCGTGGTCATGTGGCCGGCATGACTAAACACCAAGGCACACGGAACGCTGTTACCTTCCCACCAAAGTGGTACCTATTCATCTACTTGCAATTTCTTGCTTTCGAACTGCTAGGTTGCCAGGAGCTGGAACTAGAAACGGGAGCTCACTCCGTCATGCGGCAACTCGGGTCTTGAACTGTTGAACTACTGACCTTCCACAGCCTGCAGTTCAGCGTCTTAACCACTTGAGCCACCGCAGCTAAAAAGGCATCTTTGGAGACTCAGACACAATTGGGGCCAAGATATGGGGGAAGGGCTAACCATCTCCCTTCCTGTCCATTAGGTCATACCTGGAGCTCCCATTCACTGCACAAGGGGAAAATGCATTGATTTCATGTCTTGTCTAGCTTGGCTTTGAACCCAGGGAGTTCACTAGGACTGAAGACAATTCTGGATTGAAGGCCATTTTCTCTGGGTTTTACAATAAACCAGTTGTTCACTAAGTGCCATATTTAATATGTTACAAATTTGGCAAGATACATTCTATTAACACCCTCGCACTGGTTCCCAGAGTGGGCAATACTGCCCCATGAGGGGTGCTGGAACGATCCAGGTGGGTGGTAGGAGCCTAGGGTGCAAATTTGTCACTGCATCTTTTTGTCCACTTTTTGAAAGTAGATTTCCAGAGGGGGCGCTGAGTAATTTTTTTTCTGAAAAGGTGGCGGTAGGCCAAATAAGTTTGGGAACCTCTGCCCTAGAGTCTTTACAAGATACTATTCGCCACCAAAGTGGACCCATTTGTTTTGTATTTGTTCCAACTATCAGTGCTTGAACCCAATCTGGGGTTTCTCTAGTCTCCAGCAGCAGAACAGCTGAATCCGGGAAACTCAGGCATTCAGATATCTTCTGCTTATCGTTCACCTGGGGCTCTAAATCTACGATACAGATCTTCCCTTCGTCGTGCACCGTGCGTGCAGCATCGACGCTTGTGCCATAGAGGTTTCCTTTGTACTCTCCGTACTCCAACATTCTGCAAATAGGATCAACAGAGAGAGGAGTAAAGTGAGAGGGCTTACTTCAAGTAACATTCTGTAATGCTGGTATGTGCAAGGCCTGATAACATTCCCACGTTATCCCAGCTAGGTGAGAATAGGTGTTGCAATCCACAGTTGCTTGTGTGTTTGTTCTAGCTGTCAGGTCTCGGCCGACTTATGGCAACCCCATATGCAGTTTTCAAGGCAAGAGATTTTCAGAGGTGGTTTGCTGTTGCCTGCCTCTGCATAGTGACTGGGGTATTCGTTGGTGATCTCCCATCCAAGTACTAAGCGGGGCTGACCCTGCTTAGCACCTGAGGTCGAGCTAACCTGGGCCATTGAGGTCTGGGCACGATACACAGTCCAGACTAACAATTTGTGATGTGCCGCCTACATCAAGGGACTTGAAAACCGGGAATGATTCAGATGCAAGACCTCTTTATGTGATCCCTGATGGCAGGACGTGCTTTAAAGAGACTTAAGATATTTGTGTTCAATGACGATGATAAAACGCTGCGGTGGTTATGCAGAATGACAACGCCGCCGCCTACATCAAGGGACTTGAAAACCGGTGTGATGTGCCGCCTACATCAAGGGACTTGAAAACCGGGAATGATTCAGATGCAAGACCTCTTTATGTGATCCCTGATGGAAAACAGTAGGACAATTGGTCTGCAGATTCTTGGTACAGCTCCATGACATGTTTGGAAATACACGGTGTGGAGGGGGAGGTATTTGTGAATCTCCTGCATTGTGCAGGGGGTTGGACTAGATGACCCTGGAGGTCCCTTCCGACTCTACGATTCTATATATCAGAAAACATTAGTGGAAAACCAGCAGAAGTGCTATCATGACTCCTGTGTTAAATAGGAAATTACCAGTACCAATCAACAACTAACTCCACTGACCCTGCAATCCTAGCAGATGGCCACATGGATCATGTCTCCTTGAATTCAAAAGGAAGATTTAAGGAAATAAAGGAAAACAACTGGAATCCAAGAACTACCTGTGGGTATACACCATGTTTTCAAACGTTTCCCTCGATACATAGTGATATTCTCTACCGTTCTCTTCATAGCTCTTCTGAGCCCGAGTTGTATCTGTTTAGAGGAATGTTGGCTTTATTGAAAAAGTTGTACAATTCACCTGGACATTAACCTTTGGATAGAACGTTGCGGCAAATCATAAGCATTCAGCATTGGATACCGCCTGTGTCAAAGGCCTTGTTGGGAAACTTCTCCTTTTCTACCCAGTCAGTTCTACATGCCGCCCAAGAAACTACCCCCCACCCCAAGTCAGAAGACCTTCAGGAATGACATCCAGTTTAGTGACAAAAAAATAAAACTGGCGAAGACAAGGAATGCAAAGAAGATCTTTCAGTCCCTTCTCTGCCACTACAGTCTATTTCAAGAAGGTCCAAGAAACACAACCATGAACTGTAGCGGAAAGAAGGACACAAATATATATATATATTTGGGGAGAATCCTTTGGGTGTTCTTTGTCAGAAGTTCAGAATATGTAGCGAGAGGGGTAATTACAATGGAACTGCTGGGAAGTTAACGACAGTGGGGGGAAATCTTACAAAGCCCGCCAGTTTTCTTATTTAGGGAGTAAATGTGCATTTGAAGCCAAAAAAGGGGAGCAGCTGTTTTCTGTGTGTGAGAGTGGCCTGAAGCAAAAAAAAAAAGGCAGGTGAGGAAAACGTTCAAGGACAGCCCCCGTCCAGCCCCAGGAGCTGTTTTCTATCTTCTAGCTGAGCTATCAGATCTCCACTACACACGTAAAGTGTTATAGTTGTTGGCACACCCAGGTTCATTGCTGCGCAAAATATGGAACGGCCTTAGAGACAAGTCACATGGAATTTGACGGGGCGTATTCCCAAGTAAATCTGCTTAGGGAGGGGGGCTGTGGCTCAGTGCTAGAGCATCAGCTTGGCATGCAGAAGGTCCCAGGTTCAATCTCCAGGATCTCCAGTTGAAAGAGACAGGCAGTAGGTGACGTGACAGACCTCAGCCTGAGAGCCATGGAGAGGGGCCATGGATTAGCTGTAGAACATCAGCTTGGCATGCAGAAGGTCCCAGGTTCAATCTCCAGGATCTCCAGTTGAAAGAGAGTGGGTGATGTGAAAGACCTCTGCCTGAGAGCCATGGATTAGCTGTAGAACATCAGCTTGGCATGCAGAAGGTCCCAGGTTCAATCTCCAGGATCTCCAGTTGAAAGAGAGTGGGTGATGTGAAAGACCTCTGCCTGAGAGCCATGGATTAGCTGTAGAACATCTGCTTGGCATGTAGAAGGTCCCTGGTTCAATCCCTTATATCTCCAGTTCAAAAAAGAACAAGGCAGGAGGTGATGGGAAAGACCTCAGCCTGAGACCCCAGAGAGCTGCTGCCCATCTTAGACAATACTGACCTTGATGGACCAGTGGTTTGACCCACTGTAAGGCAGCTTCATGTGTCCAAGGCTGTTGTGAGGATCGAGCTATACATGTAAGCTATTCATACAACAGGTAAAAATCCCCACAAGAACTGTGTAGCGAAAGAACATTTGAGTAGCAAAAGGTCTGCTGTCTTATACAATTCCCCAAGGATCCACAGAGGCAGTTGTCAGGTAGCCAGCAACCACTACAGACAGTTTGCAGTTGCCCATCCCCATGTAAAAGACCCTTCCTTGAGTAATGTCTACATCACAGAGATGGGCTTACTGTTTTGTGCTGGGTGAGAGACTGACCTTGCCCCTTTCCCAAGTTCTCTACCACCACGGGCAGGGCACCGGCAAAAAGTAAACTCTTTATACTGGGCTTTGGAGACAAATTTCGATTGCTTTCAGGTGTCTTGAACAGGGTTACCCCCGGCCACCAGTGGGAGATGGGAGGATAGGGTGGCTAGATTCAGGTTGGGAAACTCCTGGAGATTTGGTGATGGAGCCTGGGGAGGACAGGGACCTCAGTGGGGTACTATGTCCTACAGTCCACCCTCCAAAGCATCCCTTTTCTCCAGCAATCTCAGTCGTCTGGAGATGAGCTCAAATTCCAGGGGATCCCCAGGTTCCACCTGGAGGCTGGCATCCCTAGTCTTGAAAGGCCCACATGATTTCTTCCCTCTCTCAAGCTGGGTGACAAAAATCTCACCACAAACAGTAGCTGTCAAGACCAGTCCAATGGTGCGGCTCTGTCACTTGCCCTCACCCCCTGCTGCTAGGGTTAATGCTACAGAAACAAGGTGTTACATACGTGGCACTGCACTTTGAAACTGATAGGGGTTTATGCCAATAAGCCGCCGTCGTAGTTCATTCACTCCAACCCCTGAAGGACCTGGGAATTTCAAGAGAAGCACAGGTAACTTCTGTGTGAACACTACAAGCCCCTGGTTCATGGTGTTACGTTTGTAACACAAGAACAGAGAGTTATTTTCCAAGCAGAAGTAGTCGACAGTAAGCTTCTTTGGATATTCAGTATTTTCTCCTCCCTCCCACAAAGGCCTTTCTCAGAACTGCACAGATCCACACATTTGCTGAGTTGCATATGAAGCCATTGGCAGGCCTGATATTATAGTCCATGGTGCTCAAATAACACAACGACAAAACTGCTGCATGGAAATCAAATCATGTGAGCTCCATCAGGCTGAGCTGTCATCAGAAACTACAGGAACTCAGCAGAAGAGATCAAAATAGTCTCTGGATCTCTCATCCCCTCACACTATTATATCTGAAGTAACCTAAGGAGCAATTTCACATGCTTGACAATATTCCATGCTCATCTAGGGTTGCCAGGTCCCTCTGGACAACTGAGGTGGGTAGGGACTTAACAGTAGAAAGAAGGCCTAGGCCATGTTGCCGGCATCACACGGGAAGTGATGTCATCACTCCAGTGACTTCCAGGTGACACTCTGGTATTTGATCAAAACTCTATGGTAAAGTTCACTTCTGCCATAGAGTTTTTGCCCAAATACCAGAGCATCACCCAGAAGTCACTGGTGTGATGATGTCACTTCCTGTGTGACATTGGCAACATGGCCTAGGCTTCTTTCTACTAGTAAGTCACCCTGCTGGCCAGCTGATCAGCAGCTGGGGGGCAGGGCCTGGCAGTTGGAGACCCCCTACTCAACGGGGAGGGGTTGGCCAGAGCAACACCCAGAAGTCACTGGTGTGATGATGTCACTTCCTGTGTGACATTGGCAACATGGCCTAGGCTTCTTTCTACTAGTAAGTCACCCTGCTGGCCAGCTGATCAGCAGCTGGGGGGCAGGGCCTGGCAGTTGGAGACCCCCTTCACAACGGGGAGGGGTTGGCAACCCTATGCTCACCCCAGTTCCTTTAAAGTGATTATAGTATAGGAAGGATCCCCAATGCAGTGCCTGTGGGCTCCATGGTCCTCCCAACACCTTTCTGGTGCCTGCCAAGTATTTTTTAGGAAGCAAGCGGGGCCATGTAGGGCTTTTTTGCCCAGCAGGGCTTTTGATTGGCTGTGCAGATTTTTAAAAAATGTTGTTTTGATAATAGTTGCCACCACAGCACAAGGATCTGCTCTGCATTACTGAAGTTAAGCCGTGGCAATCGTTTGTGGCCAGCTCCACCTCCTGTGGCAGCCATTTTGTGGCAGCCATTTTGTTACTTTGCCCAGCGTGCTGCGTCAGAATTCCAAATCTGCCTGCAGGCTCAAAAAGGTTGGGGATTCCTATACTATATAGCAGTGATGGCGAACCTATGGCACGGGTGCCAGAGGTGGCACTCAGAGCCCTCTCTGTGGGCATGCGTGCCATCACCCCAGCCAGGCCCAGACCATCATTAAAGTGTCGAATTCTCTGCCAAATAATTTTAAGTAAAGGAAAGCATTTGGGATTGCTTTCCTTACTTTGTTTGGATCATCTTAAATTAATGTATGAGTTGTTTTTTCTAAAGTAAAACCTCAGTATTCAGGTTAGATTGCTGTGTTGGCACTTTGCGATAAATAAGTGGGTTTTGGGTTGCAGTTTGGGCACTCGGTCTCTAAAAGGTTCGCCATCACTGCTATACAGCATAGTGAGTCTTCAGCTGAGGTTGCGGGTATCTGCTTTTCTAAAGAGATTTGCTGCAACCTGTCCATGAATTCAAGGGACTCTATACCTTCCTGTTTTGGCTGGTGAAAGTTATGCTTTTCTTCAGCTACCCTGGCCTGGAGTGCTGCATTTCCAGACAAAACTTTCCCTTCAACTTCAAGAAGCTGCATTTCTAGAGAGGCAAATCCAGTGCCCCCACCCCATTCTTGTGTCAAATAGTTCAAGCTCACCGCAAATGCATTTCATTCCATCGTGCCAGATTGTCCATACTATGGATCTAGAAGTCCATGCCACTTACCCACTAGCACGATTAATCTGTTCCGATCCCCGGGCTGTCTCTGGTATCTCACCACCTCTTCATAAGGTGCCGCTACAGCACTGTAGCAGGCACTGGGACACCGGGCATAACACGGCAAGTGGCTGTTGCGTGATTTCCTGCGACACAGGCGCATACTTCTACGGAAGCCAGCTGAGAGAGTCAGAAATATATGTAAAAGTGGTCATTGAGCAAAATGGGTAGGTCTGCCAGATTCAGTTGATAGGGGTCGCCTGATGTTTTTCAGCGTGTCACATGCTCCTCCTGTTCTACAACATATCACAGGGTTCCTGGTTTTGGTAGAACCTTAGACAGACTGTGCCTCCTTCATTCTTCCCATTACCACAGTTATGCCATGGCTCCTACTTTGATTCTTTCCCTTGGTGCCATTTAGCAAAAACTGGAAGCCGAGGGACAGCTGTTCTTAAGGAACACAAGAGCTGCCTTGCTGGACCAAGCTCACAGCCTATCTTTTCCAGCACTCTAATTCCAGCATAGGGATGCCAGACCCTCCTGGTGGGGGCAGGGGTACCCCGCTGCCAAGCCCCACCTCTCCGCCGCTGATCAGCTGGCCAGCAGGGGGGAATTACCCCCAAACAAGGGAGGATTACCTGACACTTCTCCCATTGGGGAGAAAAGCAGGATATAAATCAATCAATCAATAGTTTGCTTTCATAGCGATTGTTAGATGATCCTTCATGAGGCTGTCTAGTCTCTTTTGCTCAATAACTCACGTTGCACACAACTGGGTACCATTTAGGTTTCCTCTCTTCTATTTAACATTTGATTAGTTCCAAACAGAAGACTGACTGAATTTCCAGTGCATTCTACCATCTATTGATGGACAGAAAAATCAAGAAGTTTTGCTAGAATGCATCCAGTGCAGAGGAAGTCATGAGTAGCAGACACTTAGCTCTAACAGATCTTTAAAAAGTATCACACAGGAGATTTGCAATCAAAGAAATGCAGTTGCCGTTAAGCAGATTAAAGGAGAGCAGATTGTTGCCGGCTTGGAGGACAGTAGTAAAGAGAGAGTAAAGGGATATTTGGGGAAGAAGCCCAGTATGAAGGCATCTTGGATAAAATACGACAAGGCAGCCCAGCTACGGTGTAGTGGCAAACTTTTCATCTATCTCAAAATGACTACTTACCAACAAAGACCTGCTGACCGGATACAGTGAATTCTTCCTCTTCTGCAATGTGAAAGACGTAACATGTAAGCAAGGAAAGACAATGGAAAAGGACAGTGGTTGTCAAACTAATAATCCCAGAGGGGTAGCCGTGTTAGTCTGTCGAAACAAAATTAAACAGGAGCCTAGTGGCCCCTTCAGGATTAAGAAGATTTTATTCTAGCATAAGCTTGTAGACAACTGAAAAAGCAGGCTCCAGTCCCCCAAAGTACATGCTAGAATAAAAAAATAAATACTTTTTCAAGTGCCACCGGACTATTGGCTTTTACCTTCCCTCCACACAGCAGATGTGAAAGTGAATTGTCAACTTTTACCTTTTTTCTCCCAATACAGTAGATATGAAAGGTGCCAGAGGAATGAGACACAGAGGACAGTTTATTGATATTAAAATGTCCAATATCAAATATGCAGAGGAAATCACTATCTAACAAGAAGCAACTTTTCACAATAGTCATTCCATCTATAGCAGAGTTGCCAACCTCCAGGTGGGACCTAGAGATCTCCTGGAATTACAACTGATCTCCAGGTGATGGAGATTTGTTCACCTGGAGAAAATGTCTACTTGGGAGGGCGGATTCTATGGCATTATAAGCTTGCAGAGGTCCCTCCCCACCCAAAACCCTATCTTCCCCGGGCTCTACCCCTAAAATATTTAGGTATTTCCCAACCAGGAGCTGACAACCCTAATCCAGAGTCATGTTATTCTGTTAAGAGACCCCTCTCTGTTATGAGGTTCAGGGTGAATGAATAATAACAGTTACTGATGGCCACTGAGCTTGTTTGAAACCTGTTGGTAGTGTTGGAAGCACTGACCCTCCCTCAGCCTTCAGTCTCCATGGCAAGAGAGACTGATAGCTAGATAGTCACACTGACCTTCCTTTCCTGTGTTTGCTCTCCTGTCACTATCCCTTTGATATGTAGAGTGGAGATCTCAGGGAACAACGTACTTCCTTCTGTTCATTCCCTCTCCCAGAACTTCCCTCTCCTTTCTCCTGCACACACCAAGAGGGAGAACACGCTGCCCTCATCTTGGAACCATGACTCAGACGGCCTCTCACCATCTGAGTCCATCCTTAGTTAGTTAGACCAAAATACTATCCTATCACTCCTCTTTCCTGTCCAGATTGTAGTTCTAGAATAAAGAGACTAATATTAGTCTTTTAAACTGAAAATGTGGCTCTGTGTACCTTTTTGTGGCATTCTAAGGTTTGCTACCCTGGTTGGATGCATGCCTGCACTAGAAGCTTTATACACTCTGCTAAATAGTCAGTGGTTACTGGATTAACTATACCAGCTAACCCCAACAGGTTATGGGCCCAGCATGCTTCCTCTGCCTGAAGCCCACCTCTGGCATGCAAATAGTTATGAAACTGGTCTGCTGTCCAGTGTGGGTATGGTTCATGAGGCCAAGAGAGGACAGATGAAAGAAAGAAAAGGTGGTACTAGATTTTTTTTAGCTGGCTGATAGTAGCCTCAGGTGCTCCTGTGCTGTTTTGGGACTAGGATTGCCTGCCTGCTCAGGACCTGCTCGACCTGTATATTTGTAAACAAGAATAATTTATTTTAAAAGGCAGCATTAATCTCCAGTGCTCTCTCCTGTTAAGGATGTGGACCTTGTAAGCTTCCTGCTGCTTGGGGAAGGAGGATAGATAAAATTATACTATTACACAGGCATAAATTTGTCCTGGTTGTATTTATTCTCCATAGCCGGTGAACAGTCTAGTGGTGAATAGGTTGCTCTGCAAAAATAAGGAGCAATCCAGTACAATTGCCCTCCATCCTATTGACACCCCAACACATTTGCCATGTACTCAATGAATAGATCCTGCATGCAATCAACCCTGCTATATCCAAAGAGCCATAGCTCGCATAAAGAGCATCATTATCAGGGCAGATGATTAGTGCCTTTTTTGTTGTTGTCAAATTGCAACCAATTTATGGCAAGCAAGCCCATAGGATTTTCAAGGCAAGAGATGTTCAGGGATGGTTTGCCATCGCCTGTCTCTGTGTAGCAACCCATCCCTCGGTGGTCTCCCATCCAATAATTAACTAGAGCGGACTTTGGTTACCTTCGGTAATCTGGTGAGGCTGCACTAGCCTGGGCCATTCAGGTAGCGTTACTAGCTTTGGGTGGGAAATCCCGGGAGATTTGGGGGTGGAGCCTGAGAAGGGCAGGGGACCTCAGTAGGATATAATGCCACAGAGTCCACCCTCCAAAGCGGCCATTTTCTCTAGGGGAACTGATCTCTGTAGTCTGGAGACCAGCTGTAATTCTGAGAGGTCTCGAAGCCCCACCTGGAGACTGGCAACCTTACATCCAGGTCAGAGCAATAATTAAGTGCCATTAAGTTGCAAGTACCTTATGGTGACCCTCTCATGGGGTTTTCAAGGCAAGAGATGAGCAGAGGAAGTTTGCCATTTGTCTTCCTCTGCGTAGCAAACCTGGTCTTTCTTGGTGGTCTCCCATCCAAATACTAACCTTGTTTAGCTTCCAAGCTCTGGCAAGCTGGGGCTAGTCTGGGCTATTCACACTGCTGATTAGTGCCTATATCATGCAATGTGTTGCAGTTCAGTAAACAGTGTTATCAATGCAACAAACATGAAATAAAGCAAACTCCGGAGGACGGCGGAAGACGGGAGGGCCTGGCATGATGTGGTCCATGGGGTCGTGAAGAGTCGGACTCGACTGTGTGACTGAGCAGCTGAACATACACTGCTATCCCATTACACACATGCTTTGTTTCTGCCATGTATTAACTTCTGAGCAAAACACTAGCAAAACCACTGTGTATAAATACACACTGAATGTTGTTGTTGTCAGTTGTGTCCAACTCTTGGCGATTCTACGGGCCAGCTCTCTCCACATTTTCCGATCTTATACTGTTTCTTTGAGTAGTTCCATGCTCAGGCTGGTGTCGACTTTTATGGTGTCTAGCCAACTGTGTACACACACTGTACATATTCTGTAATCACCAAGAATGATTTTCTAATAATTATGTAGCTAATGAGAGCCTTTCTTTCTCCCTGGTGAATTTGAAACTCTTGTTCTTCTCATCTAGTTGAGACTGGTTATTATTGCTGATCATTGGCAATAAAATAATTTGGCTCCAGATTCTAGCTTCTTGCATAGACTCATATGGGCACTTTGACAAAGAACAAAAATGAGAATCTTTGAAACGAGAGTTATTACCTAGGAGTCTCATCAGGCAATAAATTACACACAAATCGCAAGCTGCAGGTCGGTGGCATTTTCATCTGTACTCTGCAAACAATAGACTTAGCTTCTGGAGTTGCTTCTCTTTTGTGTTTAGGGATATCAACTTCATGCCTATTGTTGTCTTCTATATGGTGGGTGTGTTAGAGATTTCAGTAATATTTTATTGAATATCTTTGGGGCTTTAATTATAAATGAATACTATGACATCGTGTGCTACATAATTAGAAAATAATTTTTGGTGATTACAGAATATATACAGTGCGTATTTATTCACAGTGGTTTTGCTAGTGTTTTGCTCATTTGATACACTGTGTTCCCTTGTATTTCTTACGTATCAACTTCTGTGCATACTTATCAGATTTGTTGACAATTTGTCATCATGTACAGTTTCTAAAAACCAGTGCAACACAAGCGCCTCCCAGCTTTCTGACAGGAAAAATATGACTGACAACCTACTCCATACAATCTCAAAGAGCAAGGAATTTTTTCAGATTACCTTCTTTGAGCTCCTCTGGTTTGTGGTAAGAAAATGTAAGAAGAGGAAGACCCACATTAAAAATTAGGGATCTCAGGACTTCAAGTCCACATCTTAGTGGACAAATATCGACAGGTGCAGATTAGCAGAACGTAAACGCAATGTAACATGACTAAAGTAGGATAGTGCCACCCAGGCTGACAATTTTACGAGTCTCTCCAAAATATCTCACATCTTACATGTGTTTCTCATCTTATGACTACAGACTACATCAGCCTTGTCTCAAAACTTTCCATCCGAACTCTGCATCACTTCTACCTACTGAGATCTGATCCTGTCCTACTGAAAACTCCACTTTCACCTCGCCTTGCCTTTTTAAAATCCCCGTTGCTCTTGCCACTTCTGAGCTCTTTCCACAGAAAGCTTCTCTGGGCAAACCAGTTCCCACCTGCCGCTTCATCCATTCCAAACCTCCTCTTGAGACATGCATATTTACACAAAGTTCTACGATCTCCTCCAGTATATCATAATGCCAAACAGCCTCTGGAGCTACTGGAGCTGACTTCATTTGTTCTGTCCTGCCGAACTATATGAAAAATCCTCAGATATGCAGTGGAATATAGTTGAGTAAGGATTTTTTTTTTTAAGTTCTGCTCTGTAAATGGGACTCCACAAAGACCCCCCCCAAAAAAATAGCATTCCGTCTAGGGTTGCCAGGGAAACACCTGGAGATTTTGGGGGTGGAGCCTGGAAAGGGTGGGGTTTGGGAAGGGGAGGAGCCTCAGCAGGGTATATAATACCATAGACTCCGCCCTCCGAAGCAGCCATTTTCTAGGGGCACTAATCTTGGCCGTCTAGAGATATCGATTGTAATAGTGGGAGCTCTCCAGGTGCCACTGGAGCTGGCAACCCTAATCCCATTTCACAGTGACTGTTATTATTCACACTTCCCTTATCTTCTCGGGGAAAGGATATGCTTTAGACATTACACGTAACCTGCCCCACTTTTAGTTTCTGATGCACAACTTCATCCTGCTATCTGAGCACCAAAATTGGGTCCTCCTCAATCTTAAAGTAATAAGGACACAATAGATTAGACCTTCAATTGTACTTTATGTAATGTAATCTCATTATCTGTCCTCACTGACCTGCCTTGTTCTACATTTCTGATCACAATGCAGTCAGCCCTTTTGTTAAAGAGAAGAGGACCCCATTGTCTTAAAGCTGGCCACTAAAATCTTCCGATTTAACTTGGAAATCATACAGAAGGCAGTGACGAAATGGCTTTCCGAAACTAGGAAGAAAACTCTACACAAAGATGTATGTCATCATCCATTTTCAGGATGGGACAGTTTAATTCCCTTTCTACCACATACTTTTGAAACGCGCTAAAAAAGGATGATTTAGCAACCCAAATTAAAAAGAAAGACTTCTACTTACCAGACTCAAAAGTTTCCTCATCTTTTAAGTCATCCAGTAAGCAAAAATAGCAAATATATTGCATTTCAATACTATCCCTGTCTCAAATCATTCTAATACATCAGAAAGAGCTTCTTCTTCTTTTTGAAAAAGAGGTGCTGGAGCTCTCAAGAGGGAAATGAAGTTTTCAATCTGTATACTGAAAACTCATGAACTTTTAAACATTTTTAAAATAATTTTGTCAAAGAGGTTCTGGAACTCTGTTCCGGCACATTCACCCAGAAAAAAAGCCCTGATTTTCCCTCCCACAGAAGCAGGAGGGCATCAAGGTCTAATTTCCATTTCCTGTCGGTTCCCCCTCCCCCAAAGTATCATTGCTTAACTTCTGTATCCATATCCAAGAGTTCAAATATATTTGGATCTGGCTTCAAGCCTGTTTTATTTGCTAAAACATACAAAATGCTCTGAAGCATTCTACATCAAAACAGTGACCGGGAAAACGGCCAACCATTTAAGAAGGACTTGAGGTTATTAAGAGAGGCTCTAAAATTCAAGCTTATTAAAACTTCAGAATTATTTTTTTCCCCTGGAATTAAGAATGAAAGACTCAGCATACTGGATCAGAGTTACAGACTCAAAAAGTCCAGAGTATATAATTGGTTTAACCCAATGGATTGGCCCTTCATTTACAGCCAAAACAGCCAGTGGCTGCCATTTACAGAGCTTATGGGACAAACCAGTTTACAGAGTAAAGGGTGTAAGGAGAGTTACACCCTTCTAAGTCCATTGAAGTCAATGGGCTTGGAACGGTGTCACTGCTTAGGATGGCACTGGTAGCCACTGTTTTTCCGCCATCGAGTCACAGATGACTAATAGTGACCCCGTAGTGTTTTCGAGGCAAGAGGCATTCAGAGGTGGCTTGCCATTGCCTGACTCTGCTTAACAACCCTGGTCTTCCATGGAGGTCTCCCATCCAAAGACTAGCCAGGACCGACCTTGGTTGGCTTCCAAGATCCGATGAGATTGGGCTGGCCTGGGCTGCCTGCTTAGGATGGCACTGTTAGCCACTGTTTTTCCACCATCGAGTCACAGATGACTTATAGTGACCCCGTAGTGTTTTCGAGGCAAGAGGCGTTCAGAAGTGGCTTGCCATTGCCTGACTCTGCTTAACAACCCTGGTCTTCCTTGGAGGTCTCCCATCCAAAGACTAGCCAGGACCGACCTTGGTTGGCTTCCGAAATCCGATGAGATTGGGCTGGCCTGGGCTACCCAGGTTAGGGTGCTCTCGCCCTACCATACTCAATTTTTTTTTCTTAGCAAGGAAGAAGACACCCCATTGGGTAGAGGACATGCAAACTGTCTTGTCCTGAAACAAAAACGGTAACTGGAGCCCTGACCTGGGTAGCCCAGGGAAGCCTGATCTCGTCAGATCTCGGAAGCTAAGCGGGGCCGACTCTGGCAAGTACTTGGATGGGAGACCTCCTGGGAATACCAGCAGTCGGGACCAATGTTCCCTCTAAGCTGTGGAGTCTTGTGAGCAAAAATTCTAATTCGTGAGCTACTGGCATTAAAATTGTGAGCGAACGATTTGGCTACTGCATAAATTACATTGCTCTGGAGCCATCCTTCCTGAGCTAAGACAAAAAGCTGTGAGCTGAAGGCTAAAATACTGTGAACTAGCTCACACAAACTCAGCTTAGAGGGAACGCTGGTTGGGAGGACAGGGGCAGGCTTTATTCAGCCACCTCTCTGAATATCCTCCAGCCCCCCAGTAGGGGTCAGTCACCAGAGGTTGCCATGACTTCCAGGCGCACACACACTCACATGCACATATGCAAAATACAAAAAAACAACAACCAAAAAGGTAACTGGAAACCAGTTCTTGTGCCTGTCTATGCCTGCATCTCTATGTCAGAGGAACAAGATGACACACAATCATCAAGTCACTGGAATTAACCACATCTCTGTGGCTTATAATTGAGATTTAAAATGTTGTGTCTGTTTTACATGCCACTCTACTAATACTCATAATTGTAAAAGAAATAGTTTAGGGGCGAAAAGGACTCTTAGCATTCACTTTTCAAACAGCCCAAAGAGAGACACAAACATACAACACAGAGTCAAGAGTTCCAACAGGGACTGGTACCAAGCTGTTATTCATTCTTTCCTGAATGGCCTCTTCCATATAAAGCATAAGCTGTAACGACATCCTCACTCTTCTTTTTCTAGACAGACACACAATTTGTTCTACATATGCTGTCAGGAATTATTTTAACAGGCCCCTTCACTTATTTAGACCTAAGGTTTTAGATCCCTCTTAGTGATGGGGGAGAGACTCACAAGGCCTACCTGCTGGAAACACAGTCAATTACCTGTTTCAACACACTTCTCATCGATCTGCATGTCATCTTCTTTACATTGTTGGAAACAAAAGTGAGAAAAAGAACCAGATTGAGGTCACAGTGATGTAGGAAATCTAAATGCAGTCAATAATTCACACTAACATTCAATTCTTACAATCGTCCTCTAGTATTTTAACACTGTGCTAGGGTGCAATGCGTCATGCAACAATTTCCTTCTGATTGTGCAAAGAATAGTCCAAAAAGGTCCCAGAGCATAACTGAGGATCTCGTTTCCACATCCTCAGTGGCTTGATGTCATGTCTCTCTAGGAATTGCCAAAAAACCCCTCTATGGTAACAGCATAGTTACCATATGCATTGCTTCTGGCAATTCCTAGAAAGGACCAATGCCACTTCCAGATCTTCCCAGAACTGATGTCATGCTGTTGGCCCAACAGCCTTTAACCTTTTTTTCTCCTGCCTCTGATCTGAGCAGTGCCAAGAAATAGGAGCTGGGGTCACTCTGGTCCAAAGTGAGGGGAGGCCCTCATCCCATGTGGGGTGGGGTGGAGCCGCGACTGCAACCCGGTGCCCCTAACCTTGCGTGGAGTGGATGTGAGCCTGCTGTTCCTCCCTTCCCCCTCTGCCAGGAGGGTGGATCCTGTCCTGTTACCTCCAAAGTGAAAAACATGAAAGTACCTATATTTTTTCCCCCTAGCAATGGTAAAAGCAGCTTTGGGGAGTGGTTTATCTGAGAAAACAGAGTGAGGGGGAAATGTTAAATATCCCTCTCCTCCTCTCCTCCCCGCTGGTCTTTCACATTAGCAATTTAGCCGCAGGGACTACAATTCTGTTTAAAAAACCATTGGGAAAAGGAAGCTGAACTACTCATAACGTGTAATTTTGGCCTTATAAAGATCTTTTTTTTTCCCCAGGCCAAATGGAAAGTTAGCTCATTTTCAGACAGAACGCAGGTGGGAGGATCAGGGCTAAGGACATGGGGGGGATGTGATGTTTTGTGTGCGGGTTTTAGCCAGAATGGAGGGTAGCTCTAGGAATTGCCAGAAACGCCATGTTAAAGCTTTGAGGCTTGGAGTAGAAGCAGGTAACGGGACTTGAGGGCGGAGGATTCCCTCCACTGATCGGGGGACTAGCAAACCTAAAAGCAGGGTTGTTTCTAAAGCATATATTTACTTTGGATAGACAATGGCCTCATAATTAAACAAAAAATAGCACTTCATGTAAGAAGTGTGATATGCTAAACTGAGTGGAGGGTGGTGGGAGTCCACCAATTGCAAGTTGCCTTTTCAGGTTCTTTGCAAATACCTCTATGAGAAAGTATTCAACTCAAATCACTGGTGCTAATACTAAGAAGGTCTGCGCCTTCTAGACTGAGAGTTCAGCTAAGCTGTGACATGCAAGCGGACGTATGAATTTTATAAAGAAACAGATGAAACCCGGATACTACTCACCTTCTTCCACAGTACTCACTATCCGCAGCAGATCCATGGAAGCAGTTATTAAAAAAAATACAGGAGATCTGAAGAGTTTTCTTGCTGGGGACAAAACGTTGTTATCATTTCATCTAAGAGATTTGGTGTAGTGGTTAAGAGCGGCGGACTCTAATCTGGAGAACCGGGTTTGGTTGCCCATTCCTCCACATATGTTAATATTGATCAGCATCGTAACTGGCCATTACTAAGATCTAAAAAACTCTCCCAGAGCTAGTTTTGACAAAGGTCCTTTCCGCATGTGCCTGCCACTCCGCATTTTCTCAGTGTTTGTGTTGAGGCAATTGAAGTCCCCGGCCAAACAGCATCCAAATAACCCGGGGCAACAGCAGGCTGAAGCCAGGCTGACCACTGAAGCTAGGTAACACAATGCAGAATGGGGGGGGGGGGGGGGGAATAAAAAAAGGGTGAAACCCGTTTTTTGAAAAAATTAGTGCAGAATGGGGGGGGGTACCCTGCGGAAAGCCATGCAAAACTCTGTAAAAGGGACCAAACTCCCCCTTCCCCCAGGTACTTTGCACCCCTCCCCATCCATTCAGATGTATCTACAACAGTAGACAGCATGTGAAATACATATATCTATTTAGTAAAACATTTACCTCCTGCCTTTCCCCATGACTCACGGCAGCTTATAATACATAATTAAATCATCGTATAATGATAAACCCCAAATTCCCCCCACCCCAACTCTCCTCACCTCCTCAGGGAACCCCCTTCATAAAGAGAAGAAGAAGAAGAGAAGAGATTGGATTTATACCTCACCCTTCACTACCCAAAGGTGTCTCAGAGCAGCTTACAAACTCCTTTCCCTTCCCCTCCCCACAACAGACACCCTGTGAGGTAGGTGGGGCTGAGAGAGCTCTTGACAGAAACGGCTCTTTTTCAAGAACAGCTCTTATCAGAACTACGGCTTGCCCAAGGTCATCCAGCCAGGTGCAAGTGGAGGAGTGGGGAATCAAACCCGGTTCTCCCAGATTAGAGTCCGCGCACTTAACCACTACACCAAACTTGGAAGCATAGAAAAAAGCTGGGGTGGTGGTGGGGGGTCACTGATAACCAAGCAGGGCACCTTGAATGACTACTAGAGTTGCCTGGTCATGTGGTGGCTGGGGCTCTCCGTCTATTACAACTGATCTCCAGGCGATCGAGATCAATTCACCTGGAGAAGATGGCCGCTGTAGAAGCTGGCCTTTGTGGCATTATGCCCCATTGGAGTCCCTCCCTACCCCAAACCCCGCCCCCTTCAGGCTCCACCCCTAAAGTCTCCAGATATTTCCTAATCTGGAGCAGGCAACTCTAATAATGAGAGAACACCCAGAAGGAAGCAAGTGGAAGCCCATAGCTGGTACATAGGTTCATACAGTGTCCCTTAGCTATTGGGAGGGGGGAGGGGCGGTTTCCCTACATTGTGAAAGGCCATAACTGGCACCTTGAATTCGACTTGGACATAAACTGCCTTTCAAAGATGCCGGTTTAACATTGGCAGGGTGTACTCCTGACGGAGAGCCCCTAATGACCGTCGGGCTCTCTCGCATGATGAACCAGGAGCAATTTCTGGGTCAAGATGAAAATTAACAAAAGTAGCTATTTATTTAAAAGCACGATCATTCCCCAATCCACTCTTATTTTAAAGGAAGGGGAATTAATGTCATACGTGGAGGCACACCGTATGGCTTTCGGTGTTCTACTGATTTTAATGCGTTTAATGAATGCTGTATTGATTAATATGTTTTAATTGAAAGCATCACTGATAAAGTTAACAGAAATAAAAGGAACGTCGTACATTTTGGGTTCGAAGCCAAATGGTTGCCAATTTTAGAAGCTCTATCAGACAAAAAATTTATCTCAGCATCCTGGGATAACTATGTTAAATGGTTGTGAGGATTTTTTTATGGTTCAAATAAAGTACAGTAAGTAGGCTTTGGTAAAACTTGATTTGTGGGTAGTACTTTGTGTTTAATATGGTTAGATATATCATTGAATGTCTACAGATATTCTTGAGGGCAGAAGACACTTGGTTGTATCTAAAGCAACAAACAGTACAGGCATCAATTACAAATTGAGGCTAAAATAAGTCACTTTGTTCGAAGATTTATTGAAGAATGTATCATTCTTTAAAGCTTCCTTTTTTTTGTAATTAGTGTGTTGGTTTGAATGTATAACTGTTCGTATGACCTTTATGTATATTTTTATTGTTATATTCGTTTTATTGTTTTAATCCTACCAATAAAATGTTAATGAGGAAAAAAAATCTGCATGATTGCAGATCTGTATGTCTGTAACCCGCCCGAAGCCTGCTTTGTGGAGAGGGCGGGATTCAAATCCAATAAAATAAAATACATTTTCTCCCTCACAGCTGTCAATCAATAAAAAATTTCTGCACTCACATATTGTCGACTTGAGGCACGGGTGAGGCTGGAAGGGTTGGGACCACCAGAACTCCCGCTGCTTCCTGAACAGAAAAAGGGAAAAGGGGTAACCCGTTAAGGAAACACGCCAGAATATCCCTAGGCCTTACACTGGCCCTTATCACAGCACCACTAATTGATGAGAAAAGGGGGAAAACCGGCAGACTTGCTAAGAAGCCAAAAATGTCAGGGCTGAAATCCCATCTACTCAAGCTGCCCTTTGGGCCCTGATCCATACAGAATGTGAGTTTCCCATTTAAAAGGATGACCCAGGCAGCCATGAGAAGAGCAGCCATTTCATAGAAACACGACTTGCTAAGAAGCCAAAAATGTCAGGGCTGAAATCCCATCTACTCAAGCTGCCCTTTGGGCCCTGATCCATACAGAATGTGAGTTTCCCATTTAAAAGGATGACCCAGGCAGCCATGAGAAGAGCAGCCATTTCATAGAAACATAGGGCTGGAAGGGACCTCAAGGGTCATCTAGTCCAACCTCCCCGCACAATGCAAGGAATTCACAACTACCGCCTCCCCCACCCCCCGGACTCCCCCAGTGACCGCTGCTCTATGCCCAGAGGAAGGCAAAAAACCTCCAGGATCCCTGGGCCAATCTGACCTGGGTCCTTTCTGCACTAGACCTTAACTCCTGGTTCAACCCTGTCCCCGAACTTACATTCAACACTACATGCGAGCAGGGGTCATTTCCTGCAGGAGCGCACAGGAGCGGAGCTCCGGCAGTAAAGAGCCCAGGGGGCGGGCACAAGCAACAAGCACCACCCCCTGCTCCCGGCAGCCCTCATTCAGAGCAAGAAGCAACCAGGTAAGTTGCAGAGCCCCCCCTATCCAAAACAGTCCAATGGCACCTTTAATACCAAGTTTTATTCAGGTACAAGCTCCCCCCCCCCCCCATAGCTAGCATTCCAAAACAGTCCAGTGGAGCCTGAGTGGTGGGTGTCGCCTTCTGACACACTTCCAGTGATGCCAGGGGGTGTGGCATGTGCAAATAAGTTATGCTAATGAGTTATGCTAATGAGCTCCCGCACCTCTTTTTCTACAAAATGACCCCTGCACGCGAGTTCACCCCTGTAATTATCTCGGGGTATTTTTACATTCTACACTACATGCAAGTTCACCCCTGTAATTATCGTGGGGTATTTTTTGTTTCCACATTACATTTTACCATCA